ACCAGCGAGGTTCCAACCTCTTACTGGCAGTGGTATCTAATAGTTAGTCACTTTTCTGTCAGCTAGGTCGTCCCTCCTCTGGAAGGGGTTCTTAGTCCCTTTCTGCCAGCAAGTTTCTACCCCCTACTTGGCAGTGGTATCTAATACTTTAGTCCCTTTCTGTCAGAGAGGTCCCCCCTCCTCTGGCAGTGGTACCTGATACTTCCCCCATCTACCGGAGGAATTGGAAACTAATTGGGCGGGAAACTTGGCCTAATTTTGCTCAGAGGTCTGCTAGAGACATGAGGTTCTTTTACGTGCCGTAAATCTACGACACGGGACCCACGGCTTAAAGTCCCTCCCGGAGGACTTGTTCCCTGAATTTTTCCGCCCTTAAAAATTCCACGACCTCCGCCGGGTTTTTGAACCCGCGTACCTTGAGTCATGAGGTGGGAACGTTACCCCTAGACTACGGAGGCCGCTAATATTACTCATAACTAAAATTTGATCCAGTTTTACAATTCAATAACGACATATGTCCTTCATAGGAATCACCTGATGACGATCGTAATAGATCGAAACATGTAGTTAGATGAATGTTAGATATTTTAATATTGGTTTATATTCAATTGTTGTGTTGACGGCTTTTAAGTATACTCTTTTAATCTCTAATACAGAACAAATAAAACTGTTGTTGGTATGACGTGAAAACCTCTCCCAATTTTCACCATTCATTGGCTTCTCCAGGGTCGCTACGGATGCCGCAGAAACCTTTGGGTAATCAGGGGCTGTGTTTTGAGATTTGTTCATTCTGACCACATTAAATAAATTGACGAAGTTGAAATCGTCATAATACTACCAGTAATTGCACAAAGATCCGCTGCTGTAATTGTAAGCGTGCAAGAACTCTAAAAGAAAGAGAATTGTTTCGTTTATTCATTAAACACAATTTTATTTAATAATTAGGATCTGTGATGTCAGACTGCATTCTGATTCCTTTATGATGTGCTAGAGTGGATGTAGTCACGAATGCAGAGTGACACTCATAACCAGGGCCCCGGATTTTGATGACATGTCATCTTTTTTTCCTTATATCTTATGCGGTGCTCTTAAATATATAAATTTAGTATATGAGCTGCTGGTTACGGAAATGTAAATTTTATAGGTATTTTTCTGTCATTTTTTGACATTTTTAGGTTTAAGGTCATTTTTTTCATTTTAGGGGTAATGCTTTGGTAATTTTTTTTTACTTTTAATGGTATTTCTAGTCATTTTTGGCAATTTTAGGGAATTTTTCTTCATATGTTTTCTGAAATGTGAATAACATGGAAGCGAAGTGTGCTTTCTTTTCTCCTTTAGGTAACTTTTCTGGATTTTTTTCGGTCATTTTTTAAATATTTTCAGGTCATCAAAATCCGGGCCCTGCATATTACATTTTTGGGTCATACTTTAGTTCATTTTTATGGATTTTTTTCAGTCATTTTATAGGTCACTTTTTAAATATTTTCAGGTCATCAAAATCCGGGTCCTGCTCATAACTAAACAATCGCTATATTTGGTGGGAAACAGTAATAATAATTATAAATAATAATGCGACAATAATAATCTGTTGCTACTACTGTTCTGCTGTTAAGAAAAACAATAACACAGTTTTCGATGATCACACGTAGTCATTAGCTTGTAGATATTTTTTTTTTCTGCAGAATTCTGAGGATTGCTGTAGGATTCAGATTTCAAGGGACGAGGGTTTCAAGACACTTTTACAACGGAGTCTTCAACAGTTGTCAGTAGATTGCTTGCTGAGAATTTGTTCCCCTATTGCCTAGTAATAATGCTCACATTTTATAAACTTTACCACAGTTCCGTACGATTGTTGTATAATAATTTTGAAGAAATAAATTAGAACGTTACTACGGAAACACATTACATGGAGATCTCTCGCATGACGGCCTAACAAATACTGTACTGTCCTGGTGAGTTTGTGTCAGGGCTCTTAGAGCCCCGGAATTACTTCCCATATCATAATAATGTAATTGAAGAAATCATTAAGAAAAATAATTTATTTTAATTAAACGGTTGTACTTTGTAGATTTTCTGCAATAATTACTATAAGAATTCAGAATGGACGTTTTATGAAGGCAAGTGTAAACTTTTCGGGCTTCAAAAGTTTAACGCATGCCATTTTTTTTTCCATTTCAATAGAACAAGTTTTGTAACTTTTCGTATACAGAAGCTGCTATAAAGACGCACAACATTACGCGATCTTCGAAAGTACTTCCTTGTAGCTGCTGTGCAATAGGCGTAAGAATGTCCACATAACTTATCTTAATGAAGTGGTAACAAGTTATTGTCTGTTGTATCACACACAACTCTTAAAATAAAAGCTGTAGGGACTGGGTTAAACAGAAGATCGGGAACATTAATTCAGCGGTAGAATGTTTAGGAAAACTTGTAAACTTTAAGAATTGAACGTAGTTAATATTAAATAATGCAGTATTTTGAAATTGTTTTGAAATATACAAGCGTCATAGTTTATTTAGTTACGTTGACTGTATCCGTACGCAGGCATATGGAAGCACAAACGACTGGTACACTGCTTTAGCCACTAGTCCATTTCGCTCTCTGTTCATCTTTGAGGGAGTTGGTGAAAGAAGTTAAAAGTCAACTGAATAAAATTTAATATTAATAAGACGATTTGTATTTATATTTTTATACATTACACATTTTGTTCAGTACTAATACAATGTAAAACAAAATATACAAAATTAATTTAACATGTAAGTGCTGTGATTTTGTTACTCCGAGAAGAAAGTTAGACAAGAATTTTATTTCAGTATTGATAGTATCCGCAATTGTTGGGGGCATTATTCTACTTATTGTTGTCTTTTAGCTGTGTGATGTTTTCAGTAATATTTCCAATATTTAAACAAATATCATAAAATTCGCGAGGAATTTTTATAACGAAATATATGATCTTGAATTCTTTGGAATGATACTAAGCCAGTATATGGAGACATACAACTTTAGTTCACTCTTCCAGAAAAATATCATGCTCCTTTACAGTTGTATGTGTTGAAGTTCTACAATAATTGATTAACGAAAGAGCCATAAGGTTAACTGTACCACCCTTTGAAACATTTAATATTCTTTCTGTGAGGGAACTGATTCCAGACCACCTCAATGCAATTGCCAAAGATATTTTTAACTTTAGAACTTGGCGCAGCACGTCAGAACTTCCATATTCACAACAAAAACCCAGGCAAGTTACATTTCGTGCAAGAAGAAATGTAAGGCTGCGACGTACGGTGTCGCTTCTTATAGCTCCACACTCACTTGCGTATTCTTCTTCTTCTTCATATTACAGCAGTGCAGATTCATGTAGTTTAGAGTAGGATTTTGGAATGAACTTGCATGTTTTACACACGTTTATAAAAAGCACATGCTTCATGATATATTATACGTTAATTTCATACAGAGTTTCCAATGGTCACCTTGAGTGATAACAAGTAAGTCGTCCATTTGCATTTGCAGGTATTGACGTCAGAAGCTGTATACATGAAGAAAGCATGTTTCATATATAGATATTATGTATTGTTTTAAAACAGAATATTTAGTTTGTAAGCGTCTTTGATGATAGTTACACAGAGCTACACTGCCGTAAAATACGTTTAGGTAGATCCCAGACTTTTATTTTCATTTCAGAGTAACTTTGGCTCAGTTCAATATAATTTTATCCCGTACTTTCCATATTTCTCCTCTAACAATCATACTTAGAGAAACCTTCAGCGAGGAGCATTTCAGTTTGTTGTAGCTGGTAGTCGTGGAGCTATACTCGAAAGGGTCTAATTTATTAATATGACACAGTCTAGACTTGCCCTTAAAATTAAAGACACCTTTCTTTTGATATGTTTGACCTACCAAGCAGGATATGAATTGAAATAGTGTGCCAGAGAGATAATTCTTCTTTAGCTCAATATCAAGGTTCATCCATGTAGTCTCTATGTTAAAAATGGGCCCCAGAACTTTTGCTTTGTGTATGTGTCTGCAAAGCGCTATCTTTATTAATGAAAGTGCTGCGTTGATGAGTTGTCTTGTAGCAACGGTTCCTTTGATGCTACGAGTATATTGAGCAGAGTTGTTAGTGTTGCTGTCTGTATACCTAATTACATAAACTATATTTACTATATCAATTATGTCAGGGAGATTTAATTGCGATGGTCAGCATCCACCCCACCATTATTTGTGACGTGTATTCGGGAAGAGCTACTGCCTGGTGGGATAAGCTGGGCCAAATAATGTCTCGTCCTTGAACTGAAAGTCTCATATTCCTGCTTTGTGTTAATAAAAATATTAAAGTACTTTCTAAATTGTATTTAGATAAATTTCACATTGCTTAGCCACCAAAAGTTCATAATTATTTGGTTTTGAATATAATTATCATTAATCGGGAATCTTGAAAAATTTCATACACCACTATATTTCCTTTGACGCAGGATCTTACGAAGCTTTCGAAAGATAAATAGTAGCGTACGTATTACCGAAGTCCTTGTTGATATATGCGTGTGCTCCTATTACAATACAAATTTAACGTTGTAACTGTCTTAGAAGCGAACTGTCATGTCTCTTGAGACCATCTGGATATGTTCTTATGCTTTTCATCCACTGCACGGATATCCACGGCCAGGCGACGGCAATCAGTCAAAATATATACTGCTAGGCACAACTTGTCACAACTGACATGCCTTTGTAATATGGAAGGAATACTGAAACTTTCCTCTTCATTTCTTTTGTCCAGCACACGAAACATGAAATGCACATAAACATTACTCATGTAAATACTACGATTTCGATGTTGCAAAACTGTTTGTACATTTTGTTACAAGTCATACACTTTTCCTCCATAATTTCGATCTTCTGAAATGTATATTAACATTTTATGCTTCCGGTTATTGAGTTGGCTACGATAATAAAACTCCTTTCGCTTTTATTTCTTTCACAAGCTGACATATGCAGTATTGACGCCTGTTCTCAGAACTTCCCTCCCTTCCGTCCCCACTCCGCTCTTGCCAACACAAATACTGTGAATGCATGACGTGTGGTGTTGTCTCTGATGTACGCAACAGATGCACTTGCACAGTTAGACGAGTGCATCCACTAGAGCCTGGCATTGTCATCTGACCACATGCACTAGCACGGAGAGGAAGGGTACCATGAAGCTTGCCAGCACCCTCGTGGCTGCACCCTTTCGTGCCCCAGAGTTGACCCCTCTTTCGGCTTGGACGTCGTGCATTGTTGAGCTTTGGTCAAGCACCGTCTCCTCCATCATGGACGGCATTGGAGCTGCAGAAGTCAGTTTACAGTTACATGTGACGTAATTTTAGTACAAAGCAATGAAACCCTCAAACCTGCCACGGTAACAGAATACACGCATCTGCTTCATACTCTTTCTAAATATTGGTAAGTACTCTTGACTTATCTGCCTTCTTCATGGAATACTATATCAGAAGCACAGATATCGTGAGTTCAATATATAATTGCTTTAAATAATTTAGGTATTTTCTTTCAAGTTGTAGAGGAGATTTATACTAGGAACTGAAAGCTACATGATACAAAATACGTTTTTGTGGTTATTTACACTGTTAGCAAACACAGTTTCCTAACGTCATCTTATACCGTGACACGTCTTAAGGCGCGTCCACATTACTCGTGCTCGTGCTCGTCGGGAGACTCTTCTGGCTTTTACTTGTGCTCGTAAATCTTCGTCCACACTACTTCAGTTGCTCGCCAGACTTCGGCGCGTGAGGATCCGTATATTTACTCGTAGTGTGTATAGGCTGTAGTCGTATTTTTTATTTATTGGCTATAGTTTTTAAATTAAAAAATTAAAATTTGCTTGTATCGTGACTTGTCATATCGTCCACATTACTCGAGAGCATAGCGAGTCACACGAGCACGAGCACGAGTAATGTGGACGCGCCTTTAGTGTTTTCTGTTATGTTCATGAACATCATAAACCATATTGTCTTTATGTAAGAATTAGGTCTTTTTGAACGTCATCATGAATAATGACACGTCTTTATGGTGTTTATAAATTTTGTTTGTAAAAGACACCATAAGAGTATGTTGTGACACATCTTCGTCCTGTGCGTAGAATAAGTAACTTTTATCAAATCCGGACATTTAATTTCTTCTGATATACGGGAGAAATATGAGTAAAGTTAATTAGTATACTATCCGAATTTACCAGGATAGAAAGTACGTGAATCAGACAGGGTGCCAGGGTGTATGCTCTTGCATACAATTAGGGTATCTGTACGCACAGCCCTGATGTAGCTGGAGTCCGCTCTGCAAATTATCTGACCTATTTGGCCGCATATTTTGAACAACTCTCTGTATACCGAGAGCGGAGAGATGTGTTCATTTTACCTGGTGACGTCTGTTAGAGTTGATTTGGTTCATCCTGGTCCGTCACACCAGCAATATTATAAAAGGTTATAAACTCTGTCCAGTGTGACTTATACATTTATTTCTCTACTTCTTAATCTTTCACCTTTGACATGTTTCGGTCTGAGAGACCATCTTCTTCAAAAGGATATATCAATACAGGCGGAAACTACTATTTCAGTGTGATTGGTCAATATCAACACATATATACGAGGGCAAATCGAAAAGTCTTTGCCCCTATTTTTTTCAGCCACAATAATACACATACAAGGAAATCAAAATACAGGCAATGTTCTAAGTACCTTTGACTATTTTTCCACATAGTCACTACCCCGGTTCAGGCATTTGTCCCATCGCACCACTAGTTTGGAGATTCCGCTGTTGTAGAATTCGGCCGGTTGGGGGCGGAAGCACCGCCGGACAGCGGTTTTCGCGTCGTCATCGGAAATGAACCTCTGGCCTGACCGGAACTTCTTCAGTGGACCGAACATGTGGTAATCACTGGGGGCGAGGTCTGGACTATGGGTTGCATGCTCCATAATCTCCCATCCGAATGACTGCAGTCGCGCCCGGGGATCTCGTGGATGATGTGGTTCTCCTCCATGACGCCAGGCCTCATGTGGCAAACAGGACCGCCGCCCGACTGCAGTCATTCGGATGGGAGATTATGGAGCATGCACTCGATAGTCCAGACCTCGTCTCCAGTGATTACCACGTGTTCGGTCCTCCGAAGAAGTTCCGGGCAGGCCAGAGGTTCTATTCCGATGACGACGCGAAAACCGCTGTCCGGCGGTGCTGCCGCGCCCAACCGCCCTAATTCTACAAAAGCGACATCTCCAAACTAGTGGTGCGATGGGACAAATGCCTGAACCGGGGTAGTGACCATGTGGGAAAATAGTCAAAGGTACCTAGAACACTGCCTGTATTTTGATTTCCCTATATGTATATTATTGTGGCTCAAAAAAAAAATAGGGGCAAAGACTTTCCGATTTGCCTTCCTGCAATATCTTACATTGCCATGAATATAAAATCTGATGCTATAACTGCTACAGCGATGTGCATGAATATATTAAAATATTTATGAAGTATTATAATTAGTTTATTTACAGTTGTGGTATAAAAATCTTTGTTAAAATTTAGAACCAATTTGGTTCATATCCTTTGTACTGCCTCTCTTTGAAGGAAGCTGAGTGTCTGCCACGTCGTGGTTCCGTTGTTTGATTAATAGAACCCTTTAGTGTCATCCTGTTGTTCGGGCCGCGCTGATGGTCTCTCAGACCTAAACATGTCAAGGATGAAAGATTCAGAATGAGAGATAGAAAGAAAAGGCATTAACAGTCACACTGGACGGAGTTGATAGCCTTTTATAAGACGTCTGTTAGGTTACAATACAGAACAGGAACATGAAATAGTTATTCCTTTCAATTAGCACACCCTGTACTAATCACGTTACTTCATCTAGGACGACGTAAGCAGGAATTCCTTCCGTTTTAAAATAGTATTTTATTGTATTGTTGTGAAATGTAATTAAAAAAAGAGCTTTGATTATCCTCAGATTTAAAAAGATACGATTTCTTCTGAAATTTGTACGTTGTCTGGGTTTGAGATTATGTCGACAACGTTTATTATACTTGCTTTTTGATGGAGGCAAACCGTCCCCCAAATTACTGTAGACTGAAGTGAGCTTCAGACATTGGAAATTTATATGAGGAACGTTTGAGTCAAGGCAACAAACTGATATCACGAAATCTTAGAGCTACACCACAGATACGTGTCAACTAAAAGACATTCAGAATTTTTCTCCTTTCTGTATTTCTATAAGTTACCCAATATATGTCGGTTAAGTCTGAAGAGGCCGCACAAAGGTGAACACATTTGTCCTATATGTACGTGTATATGTAACTTGCCATTGAAAGTGACAGCAACGAATGTTCAGAGCTCACTGTCGCTGTTGCCAAAAGAAGCTTCGATTAATATCAGAATGTAAATTGCTCAATACAGGTTGTGCTAGGTACTCACCGATCGTTGTAAGAGAAATATCATTGGCCATGTCGTTCAGTCCCCCAGTGCCAGTTACCTCGAGTGCTGGAACTATACGAAACTGAATTAATGAAAACAGCAAAAGAGAATCCTCTTGCATAAGTTGCTCCCCCACCAAGTGTCTGAAGCAGGGAGCCGCACAGACTCACAGAAATTGGGCTCATCTCCCGACGACGCAACGAAGTTTCAGGGTGAGTGGTATTACTCTACGTGAACAGCTCATTAACACATATTATCCACGTGTCTGGCTACCTATTGTTACAGTACACTTTATAATTGACAAAAACCTCATACATACCATTTAAGAATGCCTTGCTTTCAGCATTCTTGTTAACATGTATAAATGCTACAATCGCTTTTTAATCTGAACTCAGTATAAATATTTACAAAATAAAGTTAAAAGTCTGAAGGAATTTGTCATTGTGAGTAATATTTTATTCTATAATAATGCCGTAATGACGTCAATAATGATGTTCTCTATCGTTTTATTAAACAGTAAAACTGACAAATGGACAAGAAATTTACTGCTAATAGTACTTAGATGTGCAGCTGTAACCTGACACAAAAACCTGAGGTATTTTGCGGGCTGAAGATTTGCAAGTTCTCTCTTGTATNATATACTACGAGGTAACTCAATAAATAAGTTACAAATGGATATTGAACTTAAACAAATAAGAGTACTTATTTGAAAAATGCTTTTATTACTCAACATAATCTCCCTGCACATTGAAGCACTTGTTCCATCATTTCACAAGCCCCTGAAAACCAGCAGCATAAAATTCTTTGGGCTGCTTCAGGAACCAGGCGGTGACTTCCCTATCTACAGCTTCATCGTCGGGCAAATGTTCAGCCGAAAGATGGTGCTTAAGAGGGCCGAACAAATGGAAGTCGCTTGGAGCAAGGTCGGGGCTATACGGAGGATACTCGAGGACTTCCCACTTGAAATTTCGCAGTGTCTCATTTGCCTTGTTGGCAGTATGGGGACGCGCGTTGTCATGCAAGAGCAACACCACTTGAAATTTCGCAGTGTCTCATTTGTCTTGTTGGCAGTATGGGGACGCGCGTTGTCATGCAAGAGCAACACGCCTTTGGTGAGGAGTCCTGGTCGCTTCTGTTGAATGGCCTTATGAAGTTTCCTGAGGATGTTACAGTAGGAGTCGGCATTTACGGTTTGTCCTTGAGGCTGGAATGAGGTGAGCTGTATGCCTTCGTGTTCCCAGTCACCGCCTGGTTCCGACAGCATTTTTCAAATCAATAAGTACTCTTATTCGTGTAAGTTCTACGTATATATCCATTTGCAACTACCTTATTGACTTACCTACATATTTGAGTAAGAATTTTACAGTGAATACTGCTATAAGCATACGATTCAACTTCTGAATGTTAAGCAACGCGTTTGAATTCTATTTGTTCCTGATTGTTGGGATTTTGAGTGACTGAGATATATGTACACAGGAATTATGTCACATTTGCATCAATCGTCTCATGAGTTCTGTACTATGTTTTATTTTATCTGGAATGATTTATTTAACATTTTGTTTACTTGTAAACTTCCTAGGAAGGGAACTGAACGAGCAGACTTTAATATTTGCTGATCATTATATAATTTCGAGATTCATAAATAAAAACTCCGCTTATCTTCTTTAATGTAAACAAAATGTTAACATTCATTAACAGATATAGAAACTCATAACTGAAATATTTCCAATACCTATGGATATTGTTACCTGATACTGTAGCTACTTGATTCTCAGTTGATTCAACAGGAATTTGCGTTGCTACTTTGATTTCTGAAAGACAACACAAGGACATAGGGTGTAAATATGATTATGCATATGGAAACATAGTAAGAAATACAATGCGTTCAACGGCCGAGGAAACCCAGAAACAACGCACAGCGGAAAGAACATTTCTCCCAGAGCGCTGCGGTAACTACCGATAGCAGAATGAGTCATAAGCACTGATAAACGCGAGCCGTCAGGAGGTCTGATTTTGTCACTGCAGCAAGTCGCATTAATAGTCAGTCTTTGTTAGAGATGTCGATAGGCAGTCGACATTTATACTGAAATGAAGTTCATTATTGAGCAGCGCGTGTTCATTGCCGAAACTTTTGCAAGGAAAAACCTTACAGAAAATGTATCCGTAAGTTTCATCGTAAATATCCTGAATTGCCAGTTCCCACAAAGTCATGAGTATCCAAGCTTGCGAAAAATGGCAGACCATAGGTTCAGTATGTGACATAAAGAAGCAATCGAAGAGGATTGTGCTGACTGAAGAAAAGGTTCAGGATATTGAGGCACGACTACAGATCAGTCCTCTAAAATCTTTAAGACATTTAGCACAGGAAACCGGTGTTTCGCTAGGTTCTGCTCTCACAGCCACAAAATTAATCAAATAACAATTGTGCATGAGCTGAAACAACCAGATTATGCACCAAGAATTCGTTTCTGTAAATGGCTACTGCAAAATGTGTACAATGGAATCGTGGATCCATAGCTTCTGTTCATGATTGATGAGGCGTGGTTTCACGTTAGTGGTCATGTCAATGCACAAGATGTAAGAATATGGAGCAATGAAAATCCTCACGCTATACAGTAAGTGCCATTACATAGTGAAAAGGTGGGAGTGCGATGTGCTGTAAGTCCACGGCGAATCACGGGCCCCTTATTTTTCCACGAAACCGTGAATTCTGACCGCTAGGTTAATGATATACTGAACCCGTTCTTCAGTCAGCTGTCTGCTGAAGAAAGACAATATGGGTATTTTCAGCAAGACAACGCTACAGCACATACACCTAATGCACCATGGTCGCAATACAGGAAGTGTTTGATGACAGAATAATCAGCAGGGGACTGTGGCCTCCAAGATCTCAGTTTTTACGATATTTATCTTGGGGGAAACCTGAAGGAAAAATTCTACAAGAATAATCCTCGCAGCACTGAAGCTCTGCTGAATGAAATAACACGCCACTTTTCACAAGCTTGGATACACACGACTTTGTGGTAACTGGCAAGTCAGGATATTTACGTCGAAACTTACGGATACATTTTCTTTAAGTTTTTCTTTGTAAACGTTTCGACAATAAACACACGCTGTTCAATAGTGAATTTCATTTCAATATAATGTTGACCACATAACGACACCTCTAACGAAGACGTACTATTAAAACGACTTACTGCAATGACGAGAACAGACCACTTGACGGCGCGCGTTTATCAGAGCCAATGACTCATTCTGCTATCTGTAGTTACAGCAGCAATCTGTGAGAAATGTTGTGTCTGCTGTGCGCTGCTCCCAATTTTCCTCGATGGTTAAACGCCCTGTACAAGCCATCGTATATAAGTTTATTCTTTTCATGAATTACGTAGACTACTTCGTTCGTGGAGCTTGGAAATTAGTCTTCTAATGAGAAATGTATATACATGCAGTTACTTGTAATGACGTACATGTAAATGATACGAAATTGAAGTTACAAACATAAATATTGACATATTCATGTGTGCCTAAAAACACGTTTTCATTATTTACAGTACAGTGGTTACTGTATGTCCCATCTTCTTTAAAATTAGTAAGGCCACGTTTTGTCCAAAGTGTGTTTATGCATTTCGCATGATTCTTGGAATAAACAGCGATTATTTCATTAAACACAACTTCTTTGTTTTTATAACTGAGATGCAGTATTTTTCTTGTGAAGTAATAACCAAATATTTAAGTTTTCTTTAGAATAATTTCTTTCTTGGAAGTGTAAAAATATTTGTTAATAAATTCAGTGAAAATAGCGTGAGTATATGTGAGAGCTTCTATTTTGCTTCTATCAGGTAATTCTTAAACATTACATAGAATAAAAGTGTGCTTACTGTCTGGGAGCTAATGGAGAGAGAACCATCCTATTAAATCAAAGATTAACCATACGAGACCCTTATTCATTATTAAAGTCTTTGTTTTATTCAGTAGCAACAACATGGTTGGGAATTTCGCTGATTAAACTGAGTTACATGCAAATTTTTTATCCGCGAGCCATTTAATGATTAGTACTGCTTTGTCATTTTCATCGGTTCTCTGTTCTCGTACTTCGTATGGAATTAATCTCATGTTATATAACTTTGGTCCTTTGCTCCGTTCTCCTGCATGTCCTTACCACGACTGTACTTCTGAGTTCTGTCCTTACAGTATGTGCTAACTATTCGTTGTTTAATTTCGCTCGACTCCAGCTAGCCAATCATAAATGAGTACATAACATATTGTTTCGGTTGAGCTCCACTAAGCGGTCTCTGATCTCTGTGAATACGAAATTTTGCGTCATGCCCCAAAACAAATGATTACTATCAACTACAAATCAATTGTAATTTCCGCTGTCTGTATGCACATAAGCGCACATACACACGTGCAGCTCTGTATTTTGTATGTATGCATATATTACTGATTTTAGGCTGTCATGGTAGTTCATTGTTGATGTTGACTCAGCACTCAAGTCGTTACTGTGTGTGTGTGTAGTAAGCAGTATTTGCCGACGTTTCGGAGATATATGCTGCCTCCTCAGGGTATGTGTTTGTATATGTGTGTATGAATTCATCCGTATATATGCGTGCAAATAAAAAAAATATATATATGTGTTTTATTGTATANTCAGGGTATGTGTTTGTATATGTGTGTATGAATTCATCCGTATATATGCGTGCAAATAAAAAAAATATATGTTTTATTGTATAATATATTTTGTATAGAACATGTAAATTTAGTCCCAAATGGAACTGAGCCACCACTTGGGCCGTCGGACAGACGAAGTGTATACGTGTTCATAAGACTAAGGTGCTTCTAACTCCATATGATTTCTAACCATAGTCATATTAAAATTCCTCTCTTGGCGAGGCAAAACGCTCTCTTCAGATTATGATTTGAAAGGAAAGAAACCTTAATCCGTCCTTAGTTCTGAGCCAAAAACAAAAATGGAGAACTGTGGCGGCTGGCGCGTGGTAAAGCATAGATCTAATGAATTGATGGAGGAACTAATGACAAAGAGTTACGTTACCCAAACGGGACCGAATAACTCTTTAAACCACAAAACACATTAGTTGTTCGATCTGCCGCATGCGGTAATATTAAGAATTATCTTACTATTGAACACAGAGTGTGCTTATGCGTTTCAAATAACTCTAAAAACAAAGCAGCATTAAACAGCATTAATCAGTTTATCTCTGTATCGGAATGTACTCTTTTTAAGTATGAACTGAATTTTTAAATCTTATTTAGATCAATTTCAATCTTCAAACGGCTTCTCATATTTGAGTCTAAGCGTGTCCTGATCATTTTACTGTTATGTTCATGAAGAAAATGTATCACAGCCCTTCAGAGACAGAATTAAACGGGGAAGATTACGTCTGTGTTTGTTTTGCAAAGCCTAGCATCACTCCCAAATTTTCAGCACTATTCACGAAGAAATATTATTAAAAACGCAAATTACGGTTCAAGTACTTTCTTACACATATATTGGCCCTGTTTAAGTAAGTCAATAAATAAGTTAGAAATGGATATAGAACTTAAACAAATAAGAGTACTGATTTGAAAAATGATTTTATTTCTCAACATAATTTCCCTGTAGCATGAAGCACTTGTCCCATAATTTCACAAGCCCCTGAAAACCAGCAGCATTAAATTCTTTGGGCTGCTGTCGGAAACAGGCGGTGACTTCCCTTTCTACAGCTTCATCGTCGGGAAAATGTTCAGCCGAGAGATGATGTTTAAGAGGGCCGAACACATGGTAGTCTCATGACAGGTTAGGTCTTCACAAAGTCTGTGCACGATGGGTGCCATGCATGCTGACCCCACAACACAAAATGCAAATAATGGGTCTGGCATTACGGCAACTCAATCGCTACCACGATGAAGGACACGATATTCTAGCCCGAGTTGTCACAGGTGATGAGTCTTGCTCCAAGCGGCTTTCATTTGTTCAGTCCTCTTAAACATCATCTCTCGACTGAACATTTTCCCGACGATGAAGCTGTAGAAAGGGAAGTCACCGCCTGGTTCCGACAGCAGCCCAAAGCATTTTATACTGCTGGTTTTCAGGGGCTTGTGAAACGATGGGACAAGTACCTCAATTTACAGGGA